TTGGGATTCATGATTTTGTGCCCCACCATCTCAACAACAACATTACCAGCTGCCCGTAAGACTGTTTGTTTCCGTTACTGATTCAGTTCTGATAAGAGCTGTAGCTTTGTTGGCCATCATTGTAGCTGCTTTTACCTTCCTTCTGTGATTGTATCTGAGATTTGGTGGGATCTTGTATTTTTTTTCTGATCTCATTCAATACTTTTCTTATCAACTCTTTTTCCTCTTCATCATCCGCTCTTCTGACTACACTATCATCATCTGGAAACACTCTGTTCCCTTCTTTTTCTTCCATTGCCTCTTCTTCCTGCTGTTCATCATTTTGTCGCGTACTACTCTCCCCTGTGCATTCCTTATCAATATTAACTTGAATTTCCATTACAGGCTGTTGTTCAGTAACATTTCCTTGTGCAGCTTGCTCGTTTTCTCTTCCTTCCTCATGACTGTCTCCACATCTTCTTTCAATTTCCTCACTTTCTATGTCTGTCAGCCACTTGTTTACCCGAATTTGCCTGGTTTGATCTGCCAATCTTTGCTCAGTGACAGGAAATACTCCCATTTCATCCCAGATTTTCTTCCTTCGCTGTCGATACTTCCTTTTTGATGGCTCACTTTTTCTCCAGTTACGATCTTGTTTACTGCCTTTTCCCATTTCATTTTTTGGTTTGTCCGACCCGTTGCTTGATGCCGACCTGCTGGAGCCCGTTCGGGACCTCCATGCCTGCCGGGCGCGACACCTTCGCCCTGAAGGGTTCCAGTCCCTAGAAAGATTTTCTTCCAAGACTTAGGGGTCTTTCTACCCGTGAGGCAAGGCTATACCCTGCCGGACGCCAACCCGGTATTTCAGGACCACGGAGGATTATCATTATTATTATTATTATCATTATTATTATTATTATTATTATTATTATTATTATTATTATTATTAGTATTAGTATTAGTAGTTGTTGTTGTTTTTACTGTCGTTGTTGTTGTTGTTGTTCTTATTATTATTACTTTATTTTATTTTTTATTATTATTATTATTATTAGTGGTAGTAGTAGATCATTATCATTATTATTATCATTATTATAATTACTATCATTATTATTATTATTATTATTATTATTGTTATCATTATTATTATTATTATTATTATTATTATTATTATTATTATTATTATTATTACTATTATTATTATTATAATAATTATTATTATTTTCATTATTATTATCATTAGTAAAAGTAGCAGTAGTATCGCTATTACTAATATTATCATTATTACTGTTGATTATTATTGCTACTATTACTATTATTATAATTACTATAATGATTATAATAATAATTATTATTATATTATTATTATAACAATAATGATTATAATAATAATAATAATAATGATAATTATTATTATTATTATTATCATTATTAATTAAAAAGACGAATGATTACACATATTTGAAGGATTTAATCAATTAAAGTCAGTTTCTTCCCCAAGGAAACACTGCACCGGCCGTGACTCGAACGCTCGAACACAGATTGCAGCCACACCCAACTCCGATGCTCTAACCACTCGGCCACCACATCTTCATAAAAAAAAGAAGAAAAAAAGAAAAAAACAGTTGTTATATACTGCAAAATTCCCTCCACTGCTCTATTATTATTATTATTATTATTATCATTATTATTGTAATAGTTATCTCTATTATTATTTTTATTATTATTATTATCATTGTAATTATTATTGCTGTTTTTGTTGTTGTTGTTGTTATTGTCGCTGTTATCATTATTACTGTAATTATTATTATTATTATTATTATTATTATTATCATTCTTTTTCTTCTTCTTCTTCTTCTTCTTATTATTATTATTATTAAATTATTTTATTTCTGTTTTTCTTGATTATTGTTTATTATAACTGTTGTGATTGCTGGTGTTGTTGTTATTGTCATTATCATTATCATTATTATTATTATCTTTATATTGTTATTATTATCATTATTATTATTATTATTACTATTATTATTATTATTGTTGTTGCTGTTATTATTGATGTTATTTTTGTTGTTATCATTATTATTGATGTTATTTTTGTTTTTGTCATTATTATTATCATTTTTATTATCATCATCATCGTTTTTATTATTATTATAACTATTATTAATACTGTTATTATTATTACTTTTAATATTGTTGTTGTTATTATTATTATTGTTATTATCATCATTAACATTATTAACAAAAGGACCTGCGTCCTCGCCCACGTCCTCGTCCTGCGTCCTGGGTCCTCGTCCTGGGTCCTGCGTCCTCGTCCTGGGTCCTGCGTCCTCGTCCTCTTCCTCGTCCTGCGTCCTGCGTCCTCGTCCTGGGTCCTGCGTCCTCGCCCTGGGTCCTGCGTCCTGCGTCCTCGTCCTGGGTCCTGCGTCCTCGTCCTGGGTACTGCGTCCTCGTCCTGGGTACTGCGTCCTGCGTCCTCGTCCTGGTTTCTGCGTCCTCGTCCTGCGTCCTGCGTCCTCGTCCT